GTTTGATTCACTCCCTCCCCTCAAAAAGTGTCGCCCCTTTAGAACTACGTGAAAACGCTAGCTCAGCTAATTTCGTTTTTATAAGCAACACACCAAGGGCATCTGATTCACTGGTCATCGTTGACACTGTATGGGCTTGCTACTGCGCTGTAGCATAAAACCGTCTTAAAAAAGTCGTTTAAATTCTTCGGGAGCCGCAGGTGTCCGGGTCAGTTTGTCAGTGTGAAAACAGAGTATACATTTAATAAGCATTAAATATAATTAAATATAAGACGGTATTGTACTTTAATTATTCTAAAAGGATAAATGGAAGGGCTGCGCTAGATTTCATACCAACATTTAGCTCCATAATGGGCTAAAGTTGTAGTGTCATCCTGTGTGATGACGAACAGTACAAAGGCTAATAACATCAGTTTGCATGAACTACCAGCTCCCCCATAGGTACACATAATGAGAAGAAAACAGAAACTGAACAACAACTCCCGGAAATGTTGTCATTTGTATGTCAGTTGAAAGACTGCACAAACAAATATAAAATCAAAACAGTACTCAAAACGTATCTACCTCTGCACAGCCAAAGTTCATGTTTCATCACTGGATAGAAGTGGGAGTTTTTAACTGGAAGTTTGTGAAATGTTGGAAATCCAGTAACTCCAATCTTGGCCAATTCAGTAAACTTTGCCCCCAGAGACTGAGTCAATAAATTCACCTGTTACAGTTTATGACAAAAATTCACAGTTTAATATGTTTGTAAGAAGTGGAGATGAGAGAGGCAGAGTACATGTACATGGAGTGAAAAAATCACGGAAAGATAAAAAGTTGGATATAATAGGCAGTATGTGTGTTTTTCCTCTGCAGTTCGAAATGAAACTTTACCTCACAATGGCAGCTCGCAAACTGATCTCCAGGTAACATACACACAAATGCACATTGTGTTTATTGGAAAAAAACAAACTAAGAGTTATTAATCCAGCATGTGATATTTTTCATTCAGTTTCATATCATACAGAGTAATACATTGTCAGGGGAACAAAACAGCTGTACTGTCTGATACTAACCAACAGGTGGCGGCAGAGTGTGGTGAAAACCTGCAATTGAGTGCAGAGCAGACAGCTGTACTATTGCTCTCTTTGAGGAATCTGACTGATTATCTGCACAAACACCAGCTGAAAGGTAGGAGGATGAGCCAGAGACGTGTGTTTGTGTGTGTTGTTGTGGTTTTATCTGTGTGAAGTTTTATACCTCGAGTGTGAAGACATTTTGTCCAGTTCTCTCTCCTTCTAAAGCTGATTTTAGGCTTCAAAGTCCAGTGTGTAACATTAAGGATCTATTGGCAGAAATGGAACATATTATCCATTACTTTGTTTTCATAAGTGTATAATCACTTGAATATAAGGAATTGTTATGTTTTTGTTACCTTACAATGAGCTCCTGTATCTACAGACGTAGAAAGGAGGGTGAAGCAAGGGAGTTAAGAACTGCAGCTACACTGCCAGATGCCACTAAATCCAAAGTCATAAAACGGTAACATAAGTATTTTTCAACCTTACTTTCCCACGTTTTTGTGTCAGTGACTAATGGGGACAAGTTTTGAATTTGGTCTAGTAATGAGTGAGAGGGCTGCAGATTAAAAAAGTCTGCCACATTAAGTCTGTTTCCAATAAATCATACAAGCCATGATAACTTGAGAGACAGCTACTTACATACATACTTTCTACTTAGTCAATTAAAGATGAGACTGCACTCAGTGATCATGGAGAGTAGTGCGGTTTACCAAATGTATCTTTATTTATTTAAGAACTTAAAGTCTAATACTGAATTAAGTAAACTCTACCTAGCAGGTAGAGTATTATTAATAAAACTCCTCTCTGTAGATGCTCTGATCACTGGTCAACAAACAACAAAGTCATTTCTGCTGATGAAAGTGTTCATCAGTAATTGCAGAGGTGGCTTTTGTGCTCCTTGTGCAAGCAGTTCTAGATTTCCTCAAATTTAAATCACTAGTGTGTAGAATTTAGTGGCATCTAGCGAGGTAGTTGCAGTTTCCGACCCCCTCGCTTCACCCCACCCCACAACCTCACAGGTGTGAAGGACAAATTACAGGGGCTGTGAAATGCACAAAGAATATTGACAGCCATATCTAGAGCCAATGTTTGGTTTTATTCATTCTGGATTACTGTAGAAACATGGCAGTTCAGCATGGTGGACTACAGTGTAGGTCTTAGGTCTGAAGGATAAATAGAAGGGCTGCAGATGACAATAGAAACGATACATATAGACTCAGAATGTTTTATATTCTTTATTTATTAAATAATCATTGATTTGTAGAATGTCAAGGTGCTGAGCCAAAGGAATGCCCTGAACCCGAAGTTCCCCAAAATGGAGGGTTGGCATGTGTCACGGTTGCCAAGAAGCGCTACTGTAAACCTCTGTGCAACAATGTAAGTGGTACATACAATGTTAAATTTGTTGATAAAAACATGTAATAAGTACAAGCTAATTTTCTGTATAGATGTGTGAAAAAAGGATGAGTAATATAATTAGAATTTTCTGTCACAGGGTTACGATTTTGGTTTTATAAGGAGGAGTCGTTTGTATGATGAATGCAGTAATCATACAGGAAATAAATGGAAAAGCCAGTACATAGGAGGGAACAAGCTGGCTGTGTGCAACGGTAAGGCTAACCAACTTTTAGCTGATTCCTCTTCAAGTGTACTTTTCATTTCTTCAGTTCAGTTTGATTACTTTTCTTTCTATCTTAAACTTATTATATATTTATACAGTGGCACTTTATGTGGGACGTTAAGTTGTGAACTTTCCTACTCTCCATTTCCAGAAGCATCTATTCAAGTTTCAGGAGCAAAGACAGCGTATTTTCCTGAAGATCGAGACTGCCTAACAACCAAGAGCAGCAGCCAACTGTGGGGCACAATCATTGAGGTTTTTACCACTGAGCTGAAGAATCAAGGCGTACAGGGAGAGCCACAGTATGCCTGTCTTGTATGTGGATGAATGCTGTGGTGAGAAAGTCCTTCTAAGTTTTACTGAGAAATGAAGCTTGGCAAGTAGTTACTACTTAGTAATAGTAGTAAACTGTATGTTAAACTTGACTTCAAGTTTAAAGAATAAAAGAGTTCCCTAACCTGAATGGTTTCCTTTGTTGACATTTGTGTTAGTACATGCAATTTAAAATATTCCAGCCCTTATCAGATAAGGCAAGCAGTGCCTTTTCAGCAGTGTCCACCTTTGACTGTTACCTACTGATACAGATATTGTAGTCCCACTTTTTACGTCATGCAATAGCCAATAGCAGCTCTGTGAGGTCCTCATACACCAACACAGAACCACTACTGTGGAAAAGAAATACAGAGTTTGGCCTGAGGGTGGTGCCAGAGGAAAGGTCATGCTGATCTATACCAAGAGAGTTGCCTCCCCTGAGGACAGTTTAGGACACTGATTACAGGAAGTGTTTTAGGTTTTTGATCCCTCCTGTAATGACTGACAGGAGCAAGTATAAAAGTATTTTAAAGTAAAGTTAAAGGAACACAGTTCTTAGGTTTCATGAATGCTCTTTAGCTAAAAAAGAAAAACACTTTTATAAGTAACTCTTGAGAGCAGCTTTTTCAGTATCCTGGGGAATTCTCTATGGTCCTATCTTTGATTGGAAATTAGGAAATTAGAAACACAACTGTATCACTTCAGCAGCCACTGAAGTATATATACAGGTGGCAATGGTACTCTGCATCGCTGCATTGACATTAACAAGAGGATGGATGCATCTGCAAGTGTCTGACTGCTGTCTTCACTGCTTTCCGTTTGACTTCATTTCACTAATAGTCACTCACTATTTATGTGCTTGGTGGCCCGGACTGGACCAGAGCAGCAGTTAATATGAGGTTAACCACTCTGCCAAATGGACTGCTTTGTCTGCTGTTCTGTCTGCTCTCCGTTTTTGCTACAGTAACACATCCAGACGTAGCTCACTGAGGTCAAGGTTAAAAAGTCAAAATGAGATTGCAGGATCTCATTAGGTAGCCACTGACATTCCACATCATTCTATTAGGATTCACTCCAATCAGAGAGAAAATGACCTGCAGAATGACCCTCTGGTGTAGGCCGACAGACTGTCTAATCATCACTTACAGAAATAACTGTCTGTGGGCTGAGGGATAAACAGTGGTTGACTGTAATGTCACACATATCCCATTAGGTGGCAACAGACAAAATACAATTTATTTTCTGTATGTTTCTTGTGGGTACCTGACTCACATTTCACCAGAACAAGTGTGAGTACTGTATGTGCTGAACCTTCCCTACCACATGTATCTTTTTAGCGTCTGAATCATCTCTGACAACCCTGTCCACAAATGTTTGGTCATTTGCTGTTTCTCATCAATCAGGCTCTGTAGCTCTCTGGAAGAATAAGCATATTATATTTTTTAAAATTAGTGTGATTCTAAGTTTGTGGCAGCAGTTTGGGGAAAGCCCTTTCCTGTTTAAACAGGACTATGCCGGGTTCATAAAGAAATGTCCAGTCTGGTGTGGTAGAACTTGACTGGCCTGCACAGAGCCCTGACTTCAACCCCATCCAACACCTGAATCCCTGCAGCCAGGTTCCAATATGTAGTGGTAAGCTTCCCCAGAACACACTGTTACATGCTGCTCATGAGGTGCATAAACTCTGGACTAATGTTTCATCTAGAGGGGGAACCAATAAGGAGGGGGCTGTTACATTTTCCAGCCTTGAGCATGCAGCATTTGTCCTTTTGTTTTGTTATGATGTTTCTTGATCTCCTGACAGGACTCATAGTTCAGTTAAAGTAGAGGGAAAAACCCAGATCTTACGGCCCTGCCCGGGCTGGTCTGGGCGTTTTCTCTTTTTTGATTTTGGCCGGCCCATCAGACCTTATTTATCTCTTGTTTTGAGTAGTTTTGATATTTTGTATTTTGGTCTCTTCATTGTTTATTACAAAAATGCATTGATTGATGGTAACTCTTGACTGCTGATTATGTCAGACCTCATTTTGAGCCATTCTGGGGGAGGGTTGAAACATACACAACAGCATCTTAAAAACCATGCTTTTGGAATGACATAAGAATCACATATGGGTGTCCACATACTTTTGGCCGTTGTGTTAATTTTTCTGGGCAAAATATATGCCACTTCATCAGTGACAATGAGTGTTTGCTTTTATTCTAAAACATCATTTATTGAGATTAACTACACAGTCCAATGTCAGTGATTTAACTATTATACAATATTGAAGAAAAACATTACATTACATGCTTCAATGCTAATTCAGTGTGTAACATTCAGTTTTGACTCAACACTCCTATTACAGCCATGTTACTCTTTGTACACTAGAGGGCAGTATTAAATCACATATTTGAAGGCCTCCTTTATTTGCCAGCAATGAAACACTGTGTATGAGCATGTGTTTAGGTTTTAGTCTTGTGCCAATACATTAAATGTAAAAAGCAATCTTTCTCATTAAAACAACTGGTTGAAGGTAGAAACAGAACAAAATTGTCAGTATAGTCTGGGCTTTAGAATGAAAGAGGAGAAAAGAAAACAAATGTGTCACTTCAGTCGTCAGTTTATTAATGTATCTCTTGTTTTGTTTCAGCTCTTCCACTAACAGTGTGTAAGTGTCAACACTTCCATCTTTTAAAGACAGCCTGTGTGCTGAGGTTACTCAGAATGGAATTTGCTCTTTTCATGTAAAGTAAATATTAAACAACAGTTTATAATCTCACTCCATTTGTTCTTTCTTCTCTTTCTCTCTCTATTCTATTTACTAGCATGTACATTTTATAACAGAAGAGACAATCAGTGAACCAATGAAACCTTCCTGTATTATCATTGTGCCAAACCTAATGCCGTTCACTTCCCTGGCTGCTGTCCAGCTTCTGCAAATAGAAAAAGAAAGAAAAATTGAATGAAAGCCTACAAAGAACCCACTAAAGAATGAGGATGAATATGAATGAGTTTTGAACTTTCTTTTCCCATTGTAACATTTTGAAAATAAATGACAATGTACTCCACATTAGTTGTATTTAAAATAGATTCTTTTTCTGCCCTGGTCTGACATGCAAATGTCTTATTCTCGTAGGATATGAATAACTCTGTCCATAACTGTTTTTATAAGCTCAAATAAAAGCCTTGTTCATAACACAGCAACTTACTGACTTCAGGAGCTGTATCTCCGAGCTGAGCGCCTCTCTCAGAAGCTCCAGCTCTCCTTCTTTATGCATCTCCAGCTCCTTCCTCAGCCTGGTAAACAAATGAAACCCATGTCAGTAACTAAATGAGTGGTGGAATAAAAGGAAAAAAAGAAACGTGTAAAGACAAGCTTCAGCATTTTTGGTTTGATAAATTGAGTTTAAACCTATTGATGTTTTTTCTTTTCATCACTATACTTGATGTTGCCTTGTTTTTGGGGAAAAAATACAAAACCAAATGAACTACCTGAAACTAAAACATTAGTATTCATTCTGATAGTGACACAGAATGAAGCCAAACTCTTATAAACAGCTAGATTAAGAAAATTGTTGGTTTCTATTTAAACCGGTTTGATATGTTCAGACATGTTCCTGACGTCAGTATGTTTACATGCACAAAAACAACCTAATTCCTGGTAATACTGTGGATGAGGCTAACAGTTTAACTAAGACGTTTACAGTTTTAACTTTAGCCCTTCCCCTCTTCCACAACAGGCAATATTTAGGAGTGGTTTGACAGTTGAGTTAATATCTAGGATGATTTGTTGTAAGCTATTGCAAGCTAACAGGAAATAGGGACTTCTTGATGTTTTGTGAAAACTTGAAATGTGGACCTTTTTTCAAACATGCTGCATCATTATGTGGTGCACCTGATGACTCCAAACAGCAAAAGAAACCAGACTGAGGCAATTACAACACCTGATAAAACAGTTTGAGGAGTAATCCTGCTCAATTAAAGCTGCAGTAGGTAACTTTTATAAAAATAACTTTTTGTCATATTTGCTATAACCTTACTTTTCACTATGACCGTAGTCTGTAAAAAAAACTGGGTCCCTTTGGCTCCTTCTAGTGCTTCTAATGGCATTTGCAAGAATCCACCAGGTAAGAACGAAAACAACCAATCAGAGCCAAGAGAGATGGAAAGATGCTTTGGGCTGCTGGCTTGAAGATAGTTGATGGTTGAGTCTGTATTTGATTATATGGGAATAAGATTCAACAATCAACTATCTTTCTTGGCTCAGGTTGTTTTTGTGCAAATGCCAAAGGAGCACTAGAACAAGCCTGATTTTTTTCACAGATTATCTGTCTTATGTACTACTGTCAGGATATAGTGAAAGTTTGAATAATTATGAGTTATTTTTATAAAGGTTACTTATGCAGCTTTAATGCAAAAGTTTTAAAATGTTGTTTCTGAAACAACAATTGAAAAGGGAAGGATACAGCGCAGCATTAACAATGTTCAGTAGACTGATGGACCCGCAGTCCTGCTCTAACAAGCAGCAGTGAGTGTTGTCAGGTCCTATGTTATTGTATGTTGTCCCTAAGGGGCTTTTTGTACAGGGGTGAAGGAATACGGAAGGACCCAAGAGACAAATTACTAAACACAGAGTTAACTGACAGCAATAAATCAAGTTTATAAATTTCCCTCACATTGTGATCCCCCAACTTGAGCAAATCTCAAGGCTGGTTGGAAGCTTCCAGGTATGTGGGTCAGTTTCAGGATTATCCTTAGTCCAGTATCTGTTTGAATATGACCTTGATTACCATACTCCAGTGTTTACACTATTGTTACAACTATAATAATCTGAAATGATAGAATACTGTATATGCACTGACTTCTGACTTCTGTTACCTTGGTAAAGCTACTGCAGACAACATTATTATTATATGCTGCAGATAAATTGCAAGAAAGTAAGAAAGAATTAAAGATATCACCTCTGCCAAGAAGGTTATGTTTTTTGTGTTTGGTGTTTTGTTCTATCTGGTAGGTTTACAGAAAAATTTTACTTGGTGGTTGATTTTAATGAAACTTGGTGGAAGGGTGTAGCATGGGCCAAGGAAGAATCCATTACATTATAGAGCGAATCCAAACCCCCCGGGTGAGGTCAATTCTACCAGCAGTGTCTATATCTAAGGAACTGAATAAAATTGTACAGACGCAGACATACATAAAATTGTATTACTCAGTTCAGCTTGCATCTGGTAAAAGCATTAGACTTGGGTCCATGGTAGTTGATGCCTTGGCTGTGATTTAACTATTATGGCAGGTGTTTGGAGGTTCTCTTCTGAGCTACACATGAATCTGAGACAAGCCTCTATCTTTCTTTTATTGGAAGTTAATGAAACAATAAAACAACTGAAGGAAAATTGGATTTTCGCAGTCTCAAAACCAACAGCGGTGTTTTACCCTTTACACTTCTATATGGAACTTACAAATCAGATTTTTAAGGCGAGCATACTGTTTTTGCAACAATAGAATGATGTTTCCAACAGCAAGACGCTCGAGATGGCAGTTTGGATATCGGTGGTTTCTGCAGTCTAATATTAGATTTCTGCAGTGCGATGACATCTTCAAATGAGCCTTCACAAATAATGTAGCAGTAATATATCAATGAAAAAAATCCTACACATCAAAAAATACATACAACTCCTAAATCATCAATCCTAAGCACACTGACTGAATATTTCAGGTATCTCTCCATTGCGTGACAGTAAACGATCTACGCCAGCAGCCACCCTGTTTTGCACACTGAACACTTTTTAAATGACTGTAGCTCTCATTCAAATTGACATGCATTCAATTTCCAACAATCAATAAGCTGAGAGTTAAATATGCGTTTTAAAGAGACGGTGCAGTGGATGAAGACAGGATTGATGGTTTCAGTTCAGAATGGATGATCATAAGAATGACTAAGAGGACGCCTCCCCCTTTCAAAGCCACATCCTCAGCACTTCCTGAGGCTAATAAGCCTGGGGGTAATGAAGGACCTAGTATGTTTAATGAGGCTGATGGATGAACAGGACATGCAACCCACATGCATGATTTAAGGCAACTCTGGGAGAGGGAGGGCGGCTCAGAAAAAGGCAAAAGCAGAACACGAAGGATAAGTAATGGACAGAGAAAAATAAGGATGAGCAAAACAAACAGACGAAAGTGAAGGGAAGGATTATTACGTGTACCTATTGTGTACCTCGTCCTAATAACAGGCACTTTAAGAACACTACTGGGAAAGATGTGATTTGAAAGTAGTTACAATAAATAAATACATATTAAAAATTGGATTTCAAAATTTTAGATCATTATCTAGATAGGTTTGGCAGATTTGTTAATCACTTCACATCCATAGTAAAGCAGACATTATCTAAAGTAGTGGCATCAGCAATAACAATGACCCTTCTTTCCTGGAACACTATTGATCTCCAGTCTTTAATTAAATAAAGGAAGTCTCTTTGTGCAGAAACAAGGTGGACCGGTGCTCTGCTACCAGCCATGTTTCAATAGAGGAGGTCCTCAATTCAGTTCATATTCTATTTTGATGAGCAAACGCTTGCCTGAGATGTCTTTACAAGTTCCCATTTGTGTCCATTGTTCTATGTTTAGATGCCTCAATCTAAGATACCGATGTGTGACAATTCAGAAAACTGGAATAAAATGAGTGGACAAACATTAACGCAGATGCATTTATATAGGGCACAAGGGGCCACTGAAGGGTTTGATGAGACACTACGGTTAAACAGTAAAATAACCAATACCAGTAATTGTAGGAACTAAAGAAAAAAAACATTGAGGCACAGCTGAAGTATATAATTAATTCCACGGTTTAAATATGGAACAGGCACCGGAATAAAACTCCCCCACTGACTGATTTCCACATTTTTGATGGAAATTCCACATACTGTATATTTAATTCAATACAGTACAACTGTACGGATGTTTGGGTTGCTCCATATCCTTAGTTTACATATAAAAGTTAGAGTTTTCCAGTTAAAACATGATGTATGATACCAATAAACCAATCTGTATTTATTTGTTGGTAAGACGCTGGATAAGCATTCAGTGTAAATGCTTAACTCTCAACCCCCTATTCATTTTCCCTTACAAACCTCCCTGCATCAATCACATTAGTCTCCGTTTCTTTTTTTCCCCACTTGTTGACTGAATGAAATACACTGCAGATCAAAGCCTTAATTAAGCCAAATGGTCTTAATGCTCTGTTATTTACACTTCTAGATTTGGACTCCAGCCAGCAGGACAGAGAGGCAGAAACACAGACAGGAGCTGGGCTTACTGGTCTATTCAGCACTTCTCACAGTATGATTCAGTTCTGCTCTTTGTAAATAACACCTTCTGTCTAATGGGCCTGCAGAATCCTGTTTTGTATTGTGCTGTTAACAGCGTGATTCTCTTCTTGTCCTTTTCTAAGTGCATTTAGCATCACAAGAGTGACCGCAGCTATTAGTGCTACTATTGAGATGAATTTTTATCAGTTATAGTGTAGAAAAGCACAGAGCCCTTTTGTACACCAAGCCTTCTGACAGCTCTCAAAAGACAGAGAATGCTCAACTAATCACAGCTGCTCAGCAAGGAATATTTAACATATCTGGAAGCTTGTTAAAGGAACATTTTGGTTTGTTCTTTTTCTTTTGCTCCTTTGTGTTTTATTTCGCTGCGGCATTTGTTGTTTACTCTTTTGTGTCTCGTAAGAATTACACTCTGTGTGATGTTATCGCAAGTACTGTAAATCAGGTACTGTTTACTGAGTCTGTGTGTCCAAATATATAACCTTCCCTCAACATCCAGACAGTTGATGAAACTTACCTCAGACAGGTGCTGTCAGTGAAAGGTTTCTGACTGACAAACCGGCTCTCCGCTCTCAGAGATTCTGTCATTGCCTCAGCCTCATTGAGCTGCCGATCCAGGTCTGTAGTCAAGAGTAATAAATCAAACACAAAAGTCTGTCCTCAAACAAAACAGACACATGCTGTGGGTGCAATGTTTAGACATTTGCTGAGGTGGCTGAGGCAATGGCACAAAGTTTGGATTTTACAGGTCCCCCAACACCACCATAACCTTGAGAGTTTCTCACTGTTAGGCACTTGACCTCGCCCACTCTAGGGGATGCTCTGTGACTGACAGTTAGAGCTGGGTTCAGACCCACGTTAGCACCGAGTTGTCAAATCTTGTCTCATAGTATTATAAATCGCCGTGCAGTGTTTTGGTCTCTGACAAGACTTTAAATTCATGGATCTGTTATTCAAACTGGACTTCCTGGAGAGTTCATCTTCAAACGAGTACTTGTAGCAACACATCCACAGCAATGCCGTCTTTTCCGTTTTTTAATGCAGTGCTATTTTTATTCTGAACACACCTAAACCTGTATTTCTACTGGGTAGCTTCCAGGTGAGAATGCATATTGTATACTGTATGTGTGACTAAAGCCCCTTTAACACTGATCAAAAAAACATTTTTCACCAACAGTAACCTGCCTTCAACCTGGTCAGGAAGCCAGAAACTAAGCTAAACTCAAGCTTGTGAAACTACTCATGATACAACCACCTACCGAAATTTTGCAGACTTTGCTACAGTTAAAAAATTTAGATGACTTTCAAATAGAAGATGTTAAAAATGCTGTTTCCAGTGTGAATGAAACAACAAAGGGTACCGATAACACATTATCTAACACAAAATGAACTTTTGGTATTAACCTTTCTGGATACTATCCAGGCCCTGTAGTTGGAGCTGGAGCTCTCTCTTCTCATCCTGCATGGAGCTCATGTGATTGTTCCCGCGGCTCATCAGCTCCATCTCTGATTGTAGAGGAAGAAAAGACGTATTCTACTTAGTCCTCCAGAATGACAGCGTAAAACCCACCAGGAGGGCTGCGCTTAATATTGAATTTATACTGCTCAACGAAAGAAAACTTTTTCTTTTCACTGCAATGTGGGCATTTTTAGAAATTCACTTTAACTGTACAAATAATCAGAAAATGCTGTTCCCTTGAGCACAAATATACAATATACTGGGCTTCTATAAACCATTGCCACTGCAATTTCTGTACAAGTAATCAATAAATTAAACAAGTGTAAATTCACTCTATGCATTGCTTTCCAACCCTTGTCTTCAAAAAACTACATTCACCCAACAAACTCAACTTTGCTTTGGTGAGACACGCGTCTCCAACTTTTTATACTTCCTATACATACTTTTATTGCTAATTAATTTACCACACACTTGAATGGTAGTATGTTCACAACTAGAGTTTCATTAGTGCTGCAGAGGTGCAGAAGTGCGAACTGCAAAGAATTTAAATACCATCATACAATGAAGGTTAGTTGCTGGTTACTTTGTGAAGACACAAAGCAAACCAAGTTGTGGAAAATGTAACCCTATTCATTTTAATCTATTTTAATTCATAATTAATAAGGACCAAGTTTAAGTTTTTTCTGTGTTTAATCAGTTAGTTCTTTCATTCTTTCTTTCTCTTTGTATATTTCGGTACATACTATGATAGAGAGATAGAGTTTAGATGGACAAATTGAGTAGATACCTGGTATACTGTCGTTTCCATGACAGTATATCAGGTACCTACTAAATCTTAGCACATACAATACACATGCATACAGCCGTAAAGACCATATGGACACATTTCCAAACATAGAAGATTTTCTTTTTTTTTTAAATCTTTTTTTTAGTACATTTCCTTTATGATAAACTGTTCCAAACTCTTTCCAAAACATCACAGCTTCTCTTACATTGTTTGATTAATGCAAGGATGTTGTTTAGATCACAGAATAATGACTAATATTCATTTTCACTCCATTTAGTTATGAATCTAATTACTGATTTCTGATATCAGTTTCATTCTCTCTCCTCCATCTATAAATTTCAACCAGATTCTTCCTGAAATCATGCTGACTTATTATCATTATTATTATGACTTATCTATTTATAGTAAATAACCAAGAAATAAATAATTTTAAAATGAGCAGTCAGGGCCACATCTGGAATATATAACCTGTGTCTACTGTGTAACAGAACAATTCAATGTTTATGACCTTTGTACAATGATTCCACTTCCTTCTGCAGGTCCAGGATCTCAGTGTGTGTTTGGCCCTGGTACACTATCTCTCTGTTCCCTCGAAGACTGAAGTCACTGTTGAACCTTGAGATCTCCTGAAGGAAGGTTTCCTCTTCTTCTTTAGACTGCCTCTTTATCTTGGCCTGGTATGAAAAGAAATCTTTATTTGAAGGTCTTACCGTAGCCAAAGAGCAGTACAGCATTATTTCACTTTTGTGAAATATTGTGTCTTTTTTTTTACTGTATTTTACACTTGTGCTCCTTTCCACTTCCCTTCCTATGTGCCCATTGTGCTTTCCCATGCAGTTTTGCTTCAAAACATAACAAAAACACAGATTTACAACAACAGTGTGTATCTGGGACAACTATAACAACCCTTTGAAGAATTGTGGTAAATATTCACTCCATTGGGTCAGGAGCTGAAACAATTAGTTTATTATTAGTTGGTTGCCAGAAAAAATAATTTTACACATGGTTCGTTTACAGTGGACACTACATAATTAATCTGAATCAATAAAAAAAAAACTCTGTAATAGAGTAAATAAGGCACAGCTGGAGTGAATACCTCTCCAAAAAGCTGCTGTTTTGAGAAACGATGGTTAACTGATTAGAGAGCTTACATTCCAAATAGGGGTGCAAGTCAATTTGTATGTCTACATAGTTTAGACTATAAGCTGACCAGGTATTCATGCACATAACCACTATGATTTGAGATGTAAATATTGATTCAGGCTTCAACCCACTAGACGTTCCCTGAGGCAGCTCTTCTGGCACAGCAGCTCCTCAATTTGCTTCAACATCTGGTCTTCACATTTCTTTATCAGATCACACTGCAGCCTTATAGCAGACAACTGCTGAGCCTAGAGCACAAATAGATGAGTGGGCAGTTAAGACACACAATATGACAGACAGATGTACAGAGAAGGACATTCCTCACTTTAAATGTGAGAGATATGTTAGTGATCCCACAGGAGGAGAAATTTGATTAAATTAAAGTTCTAGGATGGGCAACTGGCACAATTATTATGTGCTGTATACTGACATGTTAGTCACCCTTACTGGGGGTTTCCTGATTACTTGATGTGGGTGTCTAGGTTTCTGTCATTCACTTTCAAACTTTTCTTGTTTAGTCCCTCTTTTGTCACCATTCTATGTGATTATACAGTGCGGCAAAAAAGAAAATTGCCAAATTATGTAGGAAGGTAAATTCATGGGGGGTGCGTTTTAAAAGATGCCTCAGGCATGACTTTCAGTACAGTTTTCAGTGTGTTATTTGAGCTGTCAAGGAGGAAGTGAGTTTATTGTTTCTTATATGGTAGTGGAGGAGCACAGTACATTTTCAGCGAGCACAATCAGCTTCCAAGTAATCACTGTAATCATCTTAAGACAGCTCTCGTAAACTGTAAGAAGTTACATCACGAGGGCTGTAAACACACCCTGCATATCTCTATGATGTCAACAGTTTCAATATTCTGTTCTAAAGGGTCAGAAAAGGTATCTGGGTTGTGTGTTCTCAGGCAGATAATACTCAGACGGTGGTGTTAATTTGCTCTTTTGATCGGATGCCCACTTTGACAAGCACAGGAAGAAGTTGGCAATATTTCTGAGAGGTCAACGAGCTGCCTTTGACATCATATCTCACACATGCTAAAAGGTTTCACTAATGTTATCCGGTGGAAATTAGCCATTGATTTTACAGTGGCACTTGCAATTTGCACAGCTGATGAAATGAATGGGAGAGATTAAGTGTTTTCAATCATAAAGCAGATCAGCTGATCAATATGCCAATACACACGTCTTCACCTCATGTGTCAATGCCATGAATACCATAGGCTGCCTTAAGGTAAAGCAAATATTGCTATTATTCTTATTTTACAACAAAGTACACTACATTTACAATACAAAAAAACAATAACAATTTATCTGCTTTATAAAGGTATTCTATTGTATGCACAGCAACATTATTGATTTCCCTCCTGACACCACAGACAAAAATAAAATATGAAGTTCGAACCAATATTTCATACAATATATGATGTTACTGTTCCCCAAGAAGAACACTTACTGTATCTAGAGGCACAGTTCAAAGTCAAACATATATGCCACCATATGTGCTATTGACGTGTATTAAGTACTCAATTTTGTGTCAGACAACCAATTAATTTACCCTTTTTACAGGGTTTTCTCCTCTAGACACAAAATGTATTCATAATTCATACAATAGCAAAATATAAAGGAGAAACACACACTGTAATGCAGCCTCACCTTTTCATCAAGTTCCTCTTTGGTCTTTTCAAACTTTTCAGTGGTGCTCTTGATCTTCTCTTTGCTTTTGAGGATGGCTACTTTAACTGAAATAAAGATCACTGATTAACTAATAACCTGCAAAAGAAGACTGCCACACTGAGCAACCTGTCACAAATTAGTAAATCAATGGAAGAAATACATTTAATAAAAAATATAACATGAAATGTGAGTGGATAAAGATGGAAGGGTCCCTTAAGTTTTTATTTTACTGAACAGGCTAGGTAGCATTGTACTGTAACTAACTTAGTATGTTAGCTGATAGCTCTGATAGCTTTAGCTTATTTTGCCAGCTTAAATGTCAGTAGCATTAAGGAAGCATAACTTACCTTCTTTTAATTTGTGTGTCTGTTCGGTTAATTGTTGTTCAGATAGAAGGATTTGATTAAAGAGTGTGTCTAAACTCATTTTAAGTCAATAGCTGGCTTAATAACCAAGATTGAATTGAGTTAAGTTAACTAGCTTTAGCTAACTTACTCAGCTAGCTAAGGTTATGCCAACGACGCAGATTTAAAGATGGAGCAGCTCGCCACCCTGTGGCCTTTTCTTTTCACACTATTACTGTTACTAACCTCGGTATTTTATTTTGTATAGTTATAACTGTGAAAGAGTCGACATGTTAACATGTACAGTTTTATAAAACGGGTCACTAAAAAAAAAAAAAAAGGTGAAACATGAAAAAGAGGCAGTAGCATTAGCATTAGCTAAAATCATGGATGTTTCTAGCACTGGCGACTATAGTTTTATGCTCATATGTTCGCGTTAGCTGCGCTGGATGGATTGCCTATAGGGACACGATGTAAATTGTGATGTGCGGTATTAAGTTAACGTAGATAAACATTTGCCTGTTTGGAGTCACCATTCCTGACAACGCACAGCCTTGTAAGGTAACTGTGGTTACTTGCAGTAACGTTACACTCTGAATGATCAGTCCCCAGTCGGTGTTCACCACTATGAAGCACTATGAAGCACTATGAAGCACTGTATCAGCACTGTCAGCCTTCTCCACAGTAATCCATTGAGACCCGCCGCCGCAGTTACATTTGTCACACAATTCCTCACTTTGACCAATTTCCTTGTTCCACCAGTGAGACAGAAAGAGCTTCTGATCCGGTGCCATGAACCACATTATAGTGTGAAACGTTAAACGGTCCGAGGACTACATCATTCTGGCATTCATTTGCAAAATTAATATCACATATTGATTGAGGCTTTTCATAAATCACCAGACTGAGCCGTCCCCTGACTGGCAAGACTGCCTTTGGAGACTTCAGAACAGCAGAGTCATCAAACTGTAAGCAGACAATTAGCCCAGATAGTAGCCTGAGCCTGTCATTCATTTGTTCCCATTTTCTGTCTCTTTCTAGTCATGCCCTGCCAGTAGCTGTGGACACTGGCCTGTGCCATATCTATTTAACAAAACTGAAAGTCGTTTTGAGAAGTGACTGTTCCTGATTGCGGGATTGACTCATCCTACCTAATCACGGCGTCCTTTTCAAGAAACGATGATTCACTGACGTTCAAATAAGATATTTCATCCCATCTCTGAATGAACACACACACTCTCTCTCTCTCTCCCTCTCTGTGTGTGTGTGTGTGTTGGTTGATTTACTGCCGTGGATGGCCAGCATCTTTGATTGATTGGGCCCAGTCTTTAATGCGGGAGAGAGGGACATTGACATAGTCTGGTCCCATGTATTTACCAAGTGGATTAGCCTCTGAATAGACCTTATAGGCAATCAATAAGCTATAGGAAGAGTTACACGTCGCATCATGCATCAACCCTGTTATTATAATCATGCTCTGCTGGTTACATTTCTACTCATTTGATTGTAAATGTATGAAACATGTTTAAAATGCTCCGATTTTCTGTGAATCCCAGCATTAAAATACCGACCTTCAAACACGTAGCATTGTTTGAGAGAATCATAAATGGTTTAGTTTAAACAGTAATGTTTATTCGAAACCGCCAACAGAGGGCGACAGTCGCACAGTGTCCAGCCTCGTCTGTGTGGGCTGAGGGCAGCTTTCCCTCAGCGCAGCGCTGTCAGCCTGCTGTAGCTGACAAGTATCACAAACAGATATTGTAGAAGCTATATTTTACATTGGAACCCCTGGTGAGTGAGTGCCATCATCAAATACCCCAAAGCATACTGTCTTCACAGTTATCAGCTACTGTTACATAACTATTGTCGTCGTTTGCAAATGAGATTAACATTATAGCAGACTGGGAGGGGCCATACACATGCTGGACATATAAACAGACTGTATGTGCAGCTGAAAGTCACCCATTCATTTTGTCACTCAAGTGGCACTGCGGGGGGATTCAGATCCAACACACTGTGCCTTAAAGCTCCTCCACATGGTGCTATATTAATCATGTCGTAAAAATGCACCACTTGTGAGTTACTTGAGTCATGCTCTTTGCCCTCTCCCTGTCAGCACAGCTACACTGAAATGTAAAAGCAGCCCACACACATCAGGAGTGGATAGTGCAGGCTACATATCATTACATCTTTAATGCGTTTTTCTTTTCTACTTTTTGTGCGTATGTGAGCTGAAAAGTTTATTACAAGTAAACACCATTAAAAGACTATAATAACCCTAAAGAGATTTGTTATGAGTGTGCAACTAAGCAGTGACGGTAACCATTCAAAATGACCATGCCAGTGCTTTTGTGCACCCATTGGGACTTACGTCTCCGGTGCTCATTAGAGAGTTAAGTGAGTTTAAAGCAATTTTTCTGTGCTTCCATTGTAATATCGCCATAATAAGGGAGTGTGTTTGCTGTGATAGGAAGGCCTATCTTTGTAAATGTATGATAAGATTGCTGTGCTTTAGTGCGAGGGGGAAGCTGGCACTCTCCTCCTGCTGAATGCGCCAGACAGCAGTGGGGCTCCAGTTGGCTGTGTGCGCTCAGACGCACAGACGCAAGCATCCCACTGGCTGGAGTTGGAGGACACTCGCCCGTTTCGTTTCCAGCGCTGCTCTGATCCCTGGTCTTTGTCTCCCTGCGGTGAGAAGACCACCCGCACGGGAGGGAAAGGAAGAAAGAAGCACTTCTTTTTGTGTGTGTAGGCTGTTAGGAGTCAGAGAAACTGTGCAGAATCGGAACTGGACACTTTTTGGAGGGGGGATTATTTCTCGCGTGAGGCGAGCTGGATCTGTTCTGTACAGCGGAGCGCGCACTGTTACGTCTTTTCAATGGATTTCAATACAGTGGAAGTACCCTGGGAATTCAACTACTGTTAAGTCGCTTTTAGTTCGCACATTTCGTTCCAACAAGGGTTTATGTTTCACATGGAGAGGAAGACGATGATCCTCGCAGTATTGTATGTCCTTCTGCCTCTTTTAGGTAAGTTTTACTTGAGTTATAACCACCAACAGCTGTCCCTTAGACACTAATGCATCCCATAGGTGCGTATAATATGTAGTGGCTGTGTGTGTAGAATATTAAGTGAGCGTGGCAGGGGCGGCAGGGTAACGTGGTGGGGATATACTGTAGTCCCAACTGCTCCAAAAAGGCAAAGTCCCTGGTGAACTGTCGCTGCCTCATTAAACAATAGTGTCTGTGAAAGCAAACTGCGTTTTGCTGTCGGGAAACTAGCTGTGTGGATCCCGAAGTTGTCAAGTAGTGTGGAACTGATTTCAATCAGTGGTGATATACAGTGTGATCTATAGATCCTTTAGTGGCGACATAGATGTGTTTATTCATGCCACTGAAGAGTAAATGCTCATCTTTAATATTTTAATCCCCGAAAAGCAGCTTGCAAAGTGCTTAAGCTGTGAATGTACTGTGAGCAAATAAAGCAAACAACTGCCAGAGGGCTATTATTGTGCTTTACTTTCATTATTATTATTATAAATGCCGCTTGTGTTTCCAGATGTGTTGTCTTATGCCGAGGAGAACCTGCGTGCTGGGGCCACCCGGCTGGACTGTGTGAGGGCCAGTGAGCAGTGCCTGAGGGAGCAGGCGTGCAGCACCAAGTACCGCACCATGAGGCAGTGCGTGGCCGGCGGCAAGGAGAGCAACTTCAGTATGGTGGCCGGCCTGGAGGCCAAGGACGAGTGCCGGAGCGCCATGGACGCACTCAAACAGAGCCCGCTGTACAACTGCCGGTGTAAAAGGGGCATGAAGAAAGAGAAGAACTGCCTGCGCATTTATTGGGGCATCTATCAGACGCTACAAGGTTGGTTTGGCAGAACTTTTTGGAAATTTCTTGTCCAGAACCCCTTAAGCAGATACTGATTCTGACTAGAATTGTGTAATGTTGCTGCTTCTGATCAGAGTATAGGCTTTGATGTGTTGTTTGTTGTGTAGAAGTCTAGTCTAGAGAATGAAACAATACCACAATATTAGTTTTTTTTCCTGGGGATGCAATAAAATCTCCATAAAGTCCCTGAGGGGTCTTTGTTTGGGCAGGACTGCTACAGTTAGAAAACAGCCTGCAGCTACAGTTAATGTGAAATGGACATTCCCCATAGGTTTTCTAATCTGGTTGGTAAAGGGGTGAGAAGATTAGTTGCCCCAGCTCCTCCCACTGCTGTCTAGAGGGTGCACCATCATCCTCACCCCACCCCCCCCTCCCCTTGCAGCTCTATGACCCTCCCTATCCCTGTTACCACAAACACAAAAACTCAAAGAGTAGCACACAGCGATGTATCTGATAACAGTCCGATGTGATCACGCACAATCACTCAATTTTCATTCAGATCTGGCCTCCGACTCAGTTCACAGCCACAGTCCAGCAGAGCCGAGATACTTTTTGACCTCCTAAATCATTTCCTTAAAGGTAATGGAGCGTAAGGCCCCTCAGCGCTCACAGTGCCATCTTAAAGTGTTTATCATAGCAGGGGGGGGGCTCTTAGTCCCTAAACTCCATCCAGCCCATTGCCAGCGAGTCGACTTCCAGTTGCACAATACAGCTGACCAAACTACCTAATCAAGCGTGTGGCTGTGTGCCAGCGTTGATATTGACTGACCCAAATAACCCATGTCACATGCAGGCCAATGTGAGGGGTGAACAATGATAAACAAAACAGGAGGGGGTTCAAAACAAAACGATTATCTGTCTATCTATCTATCTATAACATCTGGTCATCTTCCTCACAGGTAATGATTTCTTGGAGGATTCTCCGTATGAACCTGTGAACAGCCGTCTATCTGACATTTTCCGCCTGGCTCCCATCATAGGTAAGAATACAAAAAATCTACTCTGCGGAGGCTTTCACTCCATCCCTTAGTATTTATGTTTTTCATTGTTTCACCGGTCACCCCGTCTCAGTTGAGATACGGTTAAGCTCCAAGCTGTGCATGCTCTCACCGAAGGTTATCTGTGTGTCAAGTATTTATCCTCCCTCATCCTCTCTGCTATCTGTCTTTCTCTCCGCTCGTTCTCGCCCCAGCAATATTGCATGCTGGCTGGAAGTGACCTTGCATGGGGAGCTATAGTTCTGAGTCTCATCAAGCAGTGGATAAATGCTTCAGATGTGCGGTAGGAGGAGGGCTCTGTTGTTGCTGGTGTATTTCACTGTGGCTGTGGACAGCTTCCTCTTGTGGCTGTTTGAATCCACTTGTTGAAGAGACTGAGTGAGTAGCTCTGTGAGTAACGTGGGAGAGCATGACAGGCATTTTTCTGTTCTGTTTCTGTGTGTGTGAGCAATGCTGACTCAAGCCTCTAGATGGCGATGTTATTCCCTTCTTCACAGCCAGTCAGTTACTTTGTGGTCCCACAGTTGAGTCTGTTGTTTGGTATTTGAGAGCCTAATCTATGAATGTGGCGCAATCATGTAGCTGCTTACATTTTCATTATTCCACTGCAGGTGATGAGCTCCATGTCAAATCAAACAGACAAGCTCTGCCTCCACATCTTCAAAGAACTAGGCTGATATTTTGACCCCTTTTGATATAAAGAAGCCCTTTCTTTCTGTTTCCTCTGTCATTTTATCTCACAATAGGCTGATTTGCCCTAAACGAATGCTTCTCCTACAGTGGGGTGAGATCATAATGTGGGCGGTAAGATAGAGATACACAAAATCTTGGACTGGGTACCATCTTTATGACCAATTTGCTTATGAAGAATCACAGTCTGAGAAGCCAGCTTTCTTTTGTAAAGCTTATTCTCTACATTCTCTTGCTACTTTCTATAGAAAAAGAGGAGAATTTACAAAGGAGAAACCTACCATGTTATACTATGTATGTCTCTGGTTCTTAATACGCCAGCCAGCCCCAGCAAGGACAAGACACCCACAGGCCAGCAGTGCTGAAGCACGTGTAGCACAGGATCATAGTTTACATCACAGGCTGGTGACATCTCTCGACAGTCTGATCTGTAGGTTCCAGGAGTGGGGACAGACAGATTTATAGTCTCATTCTTATAGAGAAGGCACGCACTCCTTATTTGATGTCCAAATGCCTCTTTATGTTGATTGATGGCTTTGCAGTATACATCTCTTTGTAAGCGGCAGAGCTCAGACATCATATCAGCCTGAATCTGTCAGTATGGCTGCAACTAATGATTAACCTCATTAATGACTAATCTGTTGGTCATTTTTTCTATTACTCGATTAATTTAGCACATGAATCCATCTCACAATTCCCCAGAGCCCAAGATTAAGTCTTCAGAATGCTTGTTTGGTCCAACTAACAGTGCAAAACCCAAAATAGGAGTTCCCAATCATGGCTTGTGACCCCTTAAAATGGAAAACATATTTTATTTGACCCCTTATCACAAGCTCTTCTCAGGCTGTTTGCTTTGACAACTTTTTATAGGCTGAAGTAGTAAAAGTGTTCAGTATTTACCAAGAAAAAACATTAAGAAAAGGCAGGAAAAAACATTTTGTGTAAAAAAAGTCTATATGTTTTTCTTTTTTCTCTTTTCTTAATCATCTGGTGATGCCTTAGATTTATCTTAGGAGGTCCAAACCCCAGGTTTGGAATAACTGGACGAATTGACTAAAGTTAAAGTGCTATTTAAAAAAAATCTTTATGTTTATTTCCACCTTTGCAAATAATCCTTCTTTTGACGTAACATCAGATCAGCCTGGATCTGTCATCAAAGTGCCGTTGTGGAGAGCGTGACTTCTTATGGGTCTGTCTATAGTTTCCCTTTGTGGATAAGGAGCGATATGTTATAAATGGACAAGTGAAATGGTGATAAGCATAGAAGACTGAGCAGAGAAGTAGAAGAATGGCTTCTGATTATTAGAAGAGTCGTAGAGCAAGAGCAGGGGATGGAGGGGTGAGAGGAGAAGGCTGCAGGGGTGAGGGTTAATCAGTGAATAGCAGGGTAAGGAGAGAGAAGGAGAGCACAGAAACAAAGCATGAGATCACTCTGCCTCAGCTGCTCTTTCTGTGGAAATTAAAGGGCAAGGTGACAGGAGAAGGATCGAGGCATAAATGATTAGAGCTTACAGCTTGTTTTTGATCACTCAGACAGCCTTGGACGTTTCAGTTCTACGGTGTAGCGCAACAAATTGAGCAAAGAAAGACTTGATACACAAAAGCCATAAAAACATACATAGTTTGAAAGGGGACCAATATGAAAAGTACTCTCTGGGGATTCTCGTTTTTAAATTATGCAAATTTTGGTCTGGTTTTGCACAGAACTTTATATTGCAGGAGGTAGGAGTGATATTAGAGTACAGTACAATACCCAGTTTGATTGTTTTTCTCGTTGTCTTTCTATAGGAAGTCTCTGTTACTATTAAGGCTCTCTCCCGAACGTGTCCCATGTTTGTCTCAGTAAGGCAGTAGGACTCAGTGATCCCAGGCTATAGGAACAATAGGCAGCCGCAATGATCCTGTAATTCCATAATCGACCCCATGTCTCCAACTGAAGCGACTAATCTCCTGTGACACCCATACATACAGTGCACAGATGCGCAGACACTCAAGCACACACACGCACACACACAAACACACTGCTGTACTCTGAACACCTGTTCCCAATGAAACGCCCATAAGCGTCAGTCTGATTTCATTAGAGAGACACATAGGGTGTCATCTTGGCCACACAAATGTACTGTATGTACAACTGAAGTGGATATATACATTGTCTTTGCTGTTTTACATAAAATCATTACAGAATACTTAACAGGGATTAATATTTAAACTGCCAGATATTACATGTTTAAGTTTGTGAACAGAATTTTTATAAATAATAAAACATGTATTGAATACAAGATGCATAAAACTTAAACACTGACATAATATAAACCTTAAATAATTATAAACTCTGTGTGTGTAAAATATATAACATTCTAGCTGATAGATGTGCACACAAGCAGACAACACACAGCAGTGGGTTAAATTAGCTAATTATTTTCAGATCTTTTTACCGGGGGCAGAGTGCCTTTACCTCTGGTCCTGTGAGTCAGAGGCAAGTTTGAGCAACTTACTTCTCTGCACCAAAAAAAAAGCATCTACTGCAGTAGTTGCGGTTAATTACTCAGTAGTGTTTTTAGAGACATAAAATATGCACAAGTTCTAGATATTCATCACTGTAACTAAAAATCTGCCTCTGCAAATGTGTTATTTTTATGGTCATGAATGTCTAGAAAGAATAATGTTGGTGTCTGAGACCTACTTCTGGACATGTTGTCAGCACTTTTAAGGATTTGAGATTGCCGTAGGTTTTCAATGGACTTCAGAAGCAATACAGATTGAATGCCATCTTGTCTGTTTTTGTAGTCCACCATGTCTGTCCTGATCAGCACTTCTTTACGACTGATAGCGTCCCTATTTCAACAGTGTCGTAATACAGACACTGTAACTCTGTTTGAAAGTTGCCATCTCCGTCATTCATGTGATGAAGTGATGAAAGCTGTAAATCTGGAACCTGTGAATGTGAAGTGCTCATATTCAGAACTAGTTTAACACATCGGTCTCTGGATGTAAACAATTCTCACTGCCTGTGAGGATGTAACGAAGCATGTGCGCCTGTGTTTTTTCCTGATATTTTACTTTTAATTTAAGCTGTTGTTTGCTCACCTCAATTTCCTTTCTCAACAAAATATCCCTGTGTTAAGTCCCTTTATCTTTCCTCTCTGTCTCTCCGTAGCAGCTCTACCTGTTTTGATGTCTCTGTTTCAGTTCATTAAAGGGCTCTGAGTTTTTCTGCTGCCCCGAGGAACCTTTGAGATCACCGCTTTCCAATTTGTAGAAAAGTGTGTTGTTTTCTCTTTATATTGAGCACATACAATACACATGACATACATACAGCGTATAAAAGTATGCCTGTGTAAAAAAGCTAAATCTGCACATTTTAACTGCGTATATATACATCAATACATTTTGGTGTGTGACCTTTCTTTGCACTTAGAGAGATGCTAGCTTTGTAAATCAGTAAAGAAAAAGGTAGCCATCACACTGAGCCGAAAACAATCATTTCCCATCGCACTGTATGAGTTAATAGAAGCTTAGAGGAAGCAAAGAGCAGAGTTTAGATGAAATGGCTGCCCTTCTCTTCACCAGTTGCCCATGTGTATGAGTCACTGATCCATGCAGGAGGGAGCAACACAGAAACAGAGAGCATTATTCTGAGATTAAAGTGGACTTGGAATTACTACCACACCATTTGGCCCAGGCCGCTGGAAAATCAAAGCGGTGTAGGAAATGGATGAATACCCAGCCTGGGTAGTTTCGTATTACTGTATTCATGAACACTCGCTGTTCCAGGTACTTTTTGTATCCCTTTCAAAACATTTCCTCTCCTCATCTGCGGTTTCTTCTTCTTGTCCTTATGGTGCATCTTCATCGTTTTTTGAGACTTCGAGTCTAAAAGGATATTGAATGCCTAGCTCTTGCCATCATCATGACTCATCACTCATCATTTTTTATTCCTATAGAGTGTCAAAGCACAACTAAGGTATGCTTGACTTAAAAAAAACATTTCTACATCTGGGAAATGGGTGATTTGAACTACTTTCAAAACATTTTGGCATATGGCCACAAAGATTACGGTGCATGATGATGCACTCTTTACAGATAAGAGACCATTTTATTGTGTGAGCCAAACGTCATTTCGCAAAACTACGGTGAGAGAGGTGAGAGAAATGTAACACGGGGCAAAAAGTGACACGGACCATAATCGACAGTCTGGGCAGCAGCCAAAAGTGACTTAACGTAAATACAGCAGCTGTGGTTAAATGATGGGGTGGCAGTGGGTGAAAACGGATAAGAACATCACAGAT